CAGTGAATCTGCTGGGTCATATGGCACAAGTGGCAGAGCAGCTTGCACAGCAGCCTGGACCTGTTGCAGAGCCTTCTACTGTTCTGTACCTCATTCAAAACTGGCAGCCTTTTGGGTCACTTGATAAATGGGCTGGAGTAACACACCCAAAAGAGGAATGTACTGCCTCTAAAATCGAAACAGGCCCACCATGTATTGTGCCTCTTCCTTGGTTGTAGGAGGGGCCAAATGCAGCAACTTATCCTTCATCTTAGAAGGAATATCTCTACAGGCCCCACACCACTGGACCCCTAAGAATTTTACTGAGGTGGAAGTTTACTGAATTTTAATCAGATTTTTTTTTCCCATTATCTGGCATGCAAATGTCTCACCAGTAAGTCCAATTTGTTTGCTACTTCTTGCTCACTGGATCCAATCAACATAATGTCATCAATGTAATGGACCAGTGTGATAGCTTGTGGAAGTGAAAAACACTCAATTTCTCTCCAAATAAGATTATGGCACAAAGCCAGAGAGTTGATCTACCCCTGAGGTAGGGCAGGAAAGGTATATTGCTGGCTGAAGGCAAATTGCTTCTGGTGAACCTTAGGGACAGGAATGGAGCAAAGGGCATTTGCCAAGTCAATGGCTGCATACCAGGTACCAGGAGATGTGTGAATTTGCTCATGCAATGTAACCACATCTGGTACAGCAGCTGTAATTTGAGTCACCACTTGGTTAAGCTTACAATAATCCACTGTCTTTCTCCAATATCAATCTGTCTTGTGCATAGACCAAACATGAGAGTTGAATGGAGATGTGGTAGGCATCACCACCCCTGCATCTTTCAAGTCCTTGATGATGGCACTAATCTCTGCAGTCCCTCCAGGGATGTGATATTGTTTTTGATTTACTATTTTTCTAGATAGAGGAAGCTCTAAAGGCTTCCATTTCCCACCGCAATAGCCCTCACTCTACCAGTCAGGGAGCCAATATAGGGGTTCTACCAGCTGCTAAGTATGTCTATGCCAATTATGCATTCTGGCACTGGGGAAATGACCACAGGATGAGTCCAGGGACCCAGTGGACCCACTGTAAGTCCAACCTGAGCTAAAACTCCATTAATTACCTGACCTCCATAAGTCCCTACTTTAACTAGAGTTCTACAATGATGTTTTGGGTCCACTGGAATCAATGTCAGCTCAGAGCCAGTGTCCAGTAGTCCCTGAAATGTCTGATCATTTCCCTTTCCCCAATGCACAGTTACCCTGGTAAAAGGCTGGAGGTCTCCTTGGGGGAGGATGGGAGAAAGATTAGCAGCATAAATTGTGGGTAGTATAATGGGGTCCTTCCTCAAGGGGACCGAGCCTCCCCTTCATTCAAGGAGTTTTGGGTCTGAAAACTGGCTCAAGTCTGAAAATTGACTGAGGGGCTGTGATTTTGTTTTTATCATTCAAATTTTGTCTGTTTGACCTGGAAATTTTCTGCTCATATAAATTAAGTAGAAAAGCAGTAGGCTATCAATTTCACTTCTAGGAGCACCGTGATTAATTAGTCAATGTCAGAGCTCTACATGAGTCAGACTATTCTGATGGTTGCTCTGCCTCTGCTGTCCATTACGGTAGCTATGCCTACCTTGCCTTTGATGGTTAGAGTGCCACGATTTGGCCCCTGCCACCTCGGGATTCAGTTATTCTCATTGTATTTAAATTTTGCAGTTGAGTGACTATGGTTCCCACTGTTAGATTTGACAGACCGAGAAGAGCAATTACAGGGCATTTCAAAGATGCAGGTGCTGCCCTCACAAATCTATTTTGCAAAGCACTGGTCAAGGGTATATCTTCTGGACCCTCCCAGCTGGAAAGAGTAGGTCTAAAGTGACTAATCCACTCCACCATCCCAATCTCCCTAAGTCTTTGGATCACCTCCTCTACATTAAACCAAGGGAGATCAGACATTTTCAGCTCTCTCACAGTGGGACATCTTTTAATCCATATTTCAGCTAACTAAGCAAATAAACTATTAGAATGTTTTTTAACCCGTTGAGCTGCAACATTAAATGCAGAACCCCTACTTAATGGGCCCAAATCAATAAATTTGGCCTGATCCAACTCTATGTTCCTTCCACCATTATCCCAACACCCTTAATATCCATTCCCATGTCTGTTCTCGAGATGTCTGCATATATAAATTGGAAAACTCAAGCAATTGTTTTTGAGTGTGGTGTACCTCCTCGTGGGTCACACTCTGAACCATGCCTCTAGGGGCCCATCAGGACTTTAGTTATAGGTCTAGAAACAAACAGGGGTATTGGGTGGCTCCTGAGAATCAACATCATCTTGCCTGGCAACTGCCTCACGGGAGGCCATCATGTTGCCTCAGGCAGTGCAGAGTTCATCTCTTCAGACAAAGGTGGAAAGGCCAAAGGCAGTGTGGGTTCGGGAATGCATGTTGCCAATACTAGGGATGGAGAAGCAGCTTCTTCTGGAAAAAAAAGGTTCATCAGGGTTTACAAGCTGAGTGTCCCCAGCTTCATCAAGGTCCTCCCACACATCCCCATTCCAAGTTGCAGGGTCCCATTCTTTTTCAATTAATGCCCTCACTTTAACAGTAGACACCTGGTGAGGCTGTGCACACATCTTTCGTTGCAGATCAGCCACTCGCATGATAAGAGTTTGTGTCTGTTTTTCCACAATTTCAGCTCTTTCACTAAGGGAGATAAGACTCTCACTAAGGGCAATCTTAGGAGACTTAAGGCTCAGTATCTGCTTCTGCAGCCAGGAGTTAGAATCCCTGAGTTCATCATTTTCCTTCATCACTTTGTCCAGTGAACTTAGGAGCAACCAACCGACTTCATTATGTTTCTTGGTTCTCTAAATATAGCCAGAAGTATTATGTACGGAGTCACTAAACTCTTTGCCTCCCACGAGCAGTGAATCAGGAGTGTCAAATGCATTTATTTTGCATTACTCTCTAAATAGTTCATGCCAAGGACTATCAGAGTTCTCCATACAATACTATTAGAAGTAGAGTCCCTAGCATTTTTGGGTCTAATCATATTAAGCAGATCAAAGCTGAAGAACCTGAAGTCCGCTGTTCAAGGACAGGAAGCATCCAGCATGGGAAAAGATGTAGGATGGGAGGGTAGGCCAGTCTAGCCTTTTCACATTTTCCTGCCTGCTTTATATCCTGGCCGAGCAGACAGCTGATTAGATGGTGCCCATTCAGATTAAGCGTGGGTCTGCCTTTCCCAGCCCACTGACTGAAATGTTAATCTCCTTTGGAAACAGCCTCACAGACACAGCCAGGATCAATAGTTTGCATCCTTCAATCCAATCAAGTGAACACTCAGTATTAACCAACAGAGGTGGGGAGTTCAATAAAATCCCTGAGAGGACAGGTAGCAAAATCCTCAAGGCAGTCACAAAAAAGATCAAGAAGGAGGAAGACTCAGCACAGATGCTGATTCACTCCCTCTGCAGAGATCTTTCCTGCAGTAGAAGCAAGTTTTCATTCCAGCAGAAGATCATGAAAGTGACCAGTTTCTGCTGATGACAAAGTCTCTTCCATATTTTATGAAACGTAACTCTGACATCTCCATTTGGTACTTATTCAAATGAACGAGCTTCTTTTTAAGGAAAAATGGTTCCTAATGGCAGTATCCCCCAGGGCTCACAATTATGCAGCAGTAGTATGGTGTTCATGCAGGTTCCTTAACATTTAAAATAGAAGTCAAACTTGACCACAATGACAGGTCCAGAGCTCATGAACCTCTATACACATATGAAATATCTGAGAAGAGAAACTTTACTATTTTTTTTTCTCTCCAGTAGTGGTCAAAAAGCCAAATGAGAGTAAAAGTGATTCACATACTGTATTAGGTTTCCTAAACCTACCATAGCAAAGTGGTACAAACTTGGTGCTTAGCACAACAGAAATTTATTCTGTCACATTTCTGGAGGCTAGAAATCTGAAATCAAGGTATCAATAGGGCTGTGCTCTCTCTCTGAAGTCTCTAGAAAAGAATCCTTCCTTGCCTCTTCCTAGCTTCTGGTGGTTGCTTGCAATCTTTGGTGTCCCTTGGCTTGTGGTGGCATCACTTCGATCTCTGCCTCTCTCATATGGCCACTTCCTCTGTGTGTGTCCCCCTCTGTCCAAATTTCCCTTTTCTTATAAGGATATCAAACACTGAAGGAGGGCCCCCTCCAATGAGTATGACCTCATCTTAACTTGATTCTATCTGCAAAGGGACTCTATTTCCAAATAAGGTTACATTCACAGGTACTGGGGATGAAGTCTCAAATGCATCTTTTTGAGGGACAGAATTCAACCCACAACACATACTAACCACCTGGTCTGGATTACCAGAAGGCAGCACACCTGCACTTGGCCTTCACTGAAGGCTTGTAATTATTCAGTAAAATACTCCTTGCTTTTATAAAAAATTTAAATATATGAAAAAAACAAATTGGCTTCTTCTACAAAATCACTATTGAAGATGATTTTTTTTTTCTCAAAAGTCTTTTTATAGTTACCATGAAAAAAGTTTATTTCTTCTGATGATAGTAAAAAATTTTCTTTTGTTTGGCAATTAGGAAGCTTACTAGTCTGCACTATAGTACTAAACTAATACTCAGTCGTCTACAGTACCACAATACTACAGTAGTCTGGGTGTTTCTCAAGTTTGAATGGAGGGAGTAAGTTAGGAAGGGAAATGATTAAAAACACAGATGCCTGGGACCCACTCCAAACCTATAAAATCAGAAGTGATGGGGATGAGACCCAGGCTTATTCACTTCTGACGAGCAGCCAAAGTCATTCTGCTATACAGCAAGTTTGAGTGCCACCAGTCTAGAGCTTTTACACCCCATTTCCCCCTTTATTCTCAGGGGTGCATAGTTTACAAGCTTTATATTTTAATGTTCTTATGTCCTTTATTGCAAGCTATATTTTTTTTAGCTATTTACAATTAACATTAACAAGCAATTTATAAATACTATACTTCTGAACTACACATGTGAAATAATACATTTTAGGTCCTGTAGCACTTTTTTTTTTTTCTGTAACACATATATTTTCAAACAGATGGCTTTATTCATGCTTACCAAGTCCCTCTGAGGTACAATGGAAGAAGAAACATATTCCCTTCGAAAATAAAGGCTCAAGTCCAAGTCAAACTGAGTATTTATTAAACACCTTTAATGTTCAAGACACTTAAATATCACCTCATCAGGGTAGGTTATAGCTAGGGAGGTACATCCCTGAATGTGGAAAGGTTAGTGTACCATTTAAACACAGTACACTGATTTATCATCTCTTGTTTGTACAGAATTAAATAGTCTGGACAATTTAATTATTTTAATTGATCAGCGTAAGTAGTTGTAAACAATTCAGAATAAGAGCTCCAAGTACAAGTACTTTCTTTCCACATTATTTTTCTCATCTTCTGTTCGCACATGAAAACTAAAGCCTCCTAAACTTAAGATTATAAAGTACTGCAAAGTACGACAGTCACTAAGGTGAAAAAAATTACTAATTTCTATGGCTGTCTATAGTTCAACTTATCTGAAAAAATACATAGTTTTAAGTCTTTTGTGAAATCCCTTGTGAGTCTCTACTGTCGACTATGGTTAGAATACAGTCAAAAGTATAATCAGATTGCATCATCACCATCACCTGCTCAGAGGCAAGTTGAAGAAACACGTGCTCATGAGGCTGAAGCTGGTTTATTGTACTACACTCTCATGTGGGGCTTGCCAGACAGATTAGTCACCATTTTGCAGCTGGTTTCAAATTCAGTTGCTGCAATACAAGTGCAGATGCAATGGCTTACCCTAATTATATTGCTCCAGTTTAATCTTTCCATTTGTAGCATACTATATACTGGATTAAATTCAAGACTTTGGATTGGTTTTAAACAGAAGAGACTTCAAAATCACGTATTTGTGATCCTCTCCTAAAGCTTGCTGATCATATTTGATCATCGTATCTTTTGGATCTTCTGAATCCATCCCAAAGGTGTTTTTAGGTTTCTAAGCCTTCACTAGAACTTGATAATTAATAAAAACGCAGGGAAAAAAAAAAAAAAAAAAAACTTAAAGTTTTTTTAAACAAAATAAAAGCAAAGTTATGTCATCTCTAAAAATACTTTTTATTTTTTTAAATTTCAATTTTTTTTCCTGTTTGGAATTAAATATATGAGTATATCCTAAGGAAATTAATTGCAATCAGGGGTTTCTAAACTTGACTGATGATCAAAATCACTTGGGAAGCTTTAAAAACATGCATTTCCCCGACTTCACCCTATACCTGTTGAATCATAATTTAAAGAGATTTCTTTTTAAATTAATCTAGAAGTTAAATAAAGCTTACACTGGTTTGCTTTGAGAATCAGAAAGAAAAAAGAAAGGTTCCTGCCTATCTAAGGCAGGTCTTTTTAACTGCCTGCTACTGTCCATATTTAATAAATGCCATCTGTCAAGAACGATGTCTAAAGAGATGATGTAATCAGAAGAATTTTAAAATATAAGAAAAAATAAAATCCTAGCATCATCAGATTCACAGAAGCTACTCAGAGAAGAGGCTCCAAGAGATTTTTGGATGTGAAAAATAATGCCAAAGAGTACAACACGCATTTAAAATAGTCTTAATTTTGTTAAGTATCTGTTTCAATTTGTTGGATACATAGTTTTTTCCTTCAAAATAACTTGATTTTGAAGACATATATAGTCAGGATTATGCATTTTACTCCCTTGTTTCTTATTCATTCATTCCACACTAGTGCTGGGAATATGGTGGTAAGAACAAACAACCCATGTCCTCACCATGCATACAGTATCACAGCATTATAAAACATATCAAAATAGTTTTATGGTTAAAATAAAGTCTATCATAAGAAATTCAAATCAGTATATTTCAAAACATCCTTGGGGATAAAAATAACACCTTCAAGTTATAGTTGACACATTATTTCAAAAAATCACTAAGTTCTGCAATTTCTCCTTCCCAAATTAATGCCAGTTTTACTTTATCTGATCTAAAACTTATTATTATACAAAAATGTGAAGTTAATAAGTGAATGATATATCATAGGTTATTCAACACACAGCTAAAAATAAAAAACACTGTCAATTCTAAAAACTAGACTTCCCTAAAGTCTAAAAATAACTATGACGAAGAGAATCTACAGTACTTTGTGACTCTTAATATTATAATTAAACATCAGGTTTAATTAATAGAGAGGTTTCCTACACAGATTTTCACATAACAGAATATGTCAACGGGATAATTATGACCAATCATAAACTTAAGCATAAAAGGTGGTGGTAAATAAAAACAAAATCTTAAAGACAAAATTTCAAACTCACACTCTGAACCAGGCCACAGTTTCTGAACTACAAACTAACTTCTTTGTTATTTAAACTGCATTTTACTCTTTACAAATACAAGCAGTTTCGCAAGTACTCCATACTGTTAATCCCCTAAAGTGGGAAAACCAGATGAATTAAAATAAGTAGAGGCCATGTTAGCCAATGTGATTGAGACCATTTCTTCATTTAATAAAAAAATCAGTTAAGGTGAGAAGTTAGAAAAAATATATGCATACCTTAAACATTTTAACTCAAAACAAACCATATTCATTTAATAAAGTAAGTACTTTGGAAGTAGCGGCGTTGTTTGAGGTAAATGTTCCAGGTTAGTCGTCTCCTGCCAAAGAAGTCAAGACAAGGACACACAAGGAGTGAGCTTAAGAGTGTTAGTTTAATAGGTGAAAGAAAGAGAAAAGCTCCCCTCCTTGTGCAGAGGAAGCGTTGGTGGCAAAATGTGGTTGGTTTTTTAGGAGGCCGTGTCTCCATAGGGCTGGAGAGACCGGTCAGACCAGGTGTGCCACTTACATAGCCTCGGAAGAACCTGGCCGCCCCATCTTAATCTTTTATTAGACAGATGGGTTCACTACCTGGCCAACGCCATGTTGCCTGCCTCTTTATCGCACATGTGGTGACAAAGAAAAGGTAAGGTGAGCCTCCATGTTGAACACACCAGCTTCCAAGTAGCCCTTTTCTATTGGTACAACTGCCAGCATTTACCTGTGCAAGCTTCCAGCTTGCTTATCTATGTCTGCAGCTCAATTTTTCAGGCTGTCCTTTGTTAAAAGAAATGTTTTGGGGGCTGCTTTTCATTAAAAAGGAAACCTTGCTAAAGACTCTCCTACCCTCACTAACTGCCTAAATAATTTCTTTCTAGCTCCTGTATCTCTTGGGAGTTATAAGAATAAATATAATTTTTCTTGGCTTTGCTTCTTCCCATGTTGTAGTAATACCAAATCCTGATTCAAGCTGATATTCAATACAACATAGAACTATTTCTAGAGCATGTATAACTACCAATGGCATGAGTAATATTTGCCTCTGGATTGCTCTTATCTCCTCCTCCTCTTCATATTAAATCCATCCTTTTCTGCTACAGCTTGTTTGCCTTCTGCATCCACAATTTCATTTTCAAAAAATAATTTTTTAACTGTAACCATGTCTGACATATATTAGTTTCGAATTTAAAAAATGAATCAATTTGTCTGATACTTAAAAGTAAAAATAAATATACAATTGCAACAAACTATGTTTTATACTACCTCCTTACAGTTAAGGATATTTTTAAATCATAGTTTTTACCAAAGTTTAGTAAATGCTTAAATGTAAATTTTGCTCTATGCTTCACTATACCATTTTTTAAATGTTTGATATTATTCTATTTTATATGGCTGCTACTACTGTCTTATACTTCTTTTCCCAAATTAAAACTCAAAGCTCTTTTTTACATCTTCTCTTTACATACTCTGATTCATGCATTAGAGGAAGGATATTCTATTCAATGGTAAAGCTATGTCTTTTAGGTCATTTTCTTTTTTTTTTCCTGGAAATCTGTGGATCTTCATTTTCATTTTAAAAAATAATTGTTATTGAAAAACTCTATCCTCAACTGAATGAAAACAGAGCTCTTCTTTGTACTGTTCATCTTTGCATACCCAACACCCAGCACATCACCTAGCACACAGAAATATTCACATATTGTCTGAATGCATGAATGTTTATATAATTTATGGAAGCAGTAATTATTGAAATAAGAGTGCACATCCCTAAGTTACTTATCAGGGAACTAGTGTTGGTTGTCAATATCTTCGAGTTTCAGGTTTAGGAGAAAATTCATTAAGTTAGCTATTCTAACAGCTAGCTATAAGCTGTAAGGTCAACTCTTCTGCCACTACCACTCACCAAGATTATTGATAAAATTGCATTCATAAATCTGGTGAAAATTTTTCAGTTCTTATCCTACTTGTAGTTCATTTTGTCTCAGGTCCTCAGAAAAAGGATGTGACGACAATGCACAGGAAGAACAATTGTTTCAGGTAAGTTTATTTTCTTTAACTGTTTCTATGCTGAATGTGCATATTAATGGTGAGACATTCTATAATTCAGAATCCATCTCATAAAACACTAAAAAAGTATGATGTATTTTTTAAAGTTATAAGATTTCTGAATTTGCCTACAACAAAAAAAACTGCAGTTTGTTAGTTCTAATTTCATTGCTGACTATGGCAACTGTAATTCCTCTGTAGAGTTTTTTGTTTTTAATTCTAGTGTCCCTGTTCTGCTTTTCTAGGTTATCATTTTGAATAACTATTTCAACTACATGGTAAAACAGGTCTGCAAGTATTGCTATCAACTAAAAAAAAAATGGAAAATTTTGAACAACTAGTCCATGAGGAAATAAACAATTACTCTATACAAATGCCCAACACCCTAAATGCTGACTTTCTCCCAGCTTCCATCCTGTTACTTGCTTTAACCTTCCCACAGGGGGAAAGTTTTCAGCTGAGGTCTTTACTTGCAGTTAGGGACCTATTATAGAGTTCTAAGCCTTTCTTACATAAGTCCAACATATAATACATTGTACACAATACCCAACTATTTTTAAGCAAATGAGAATTTAAAGATATTTACAAAATTAATCTACAACTGATTCCAGATCTTACTCACACGTAAATACAGCTCCTTTTTTATTTTAGCAATTAAACCGCAGAGATTATTTCCAAAACATTTAACAAAGTTTCGCAGATATAAGAATTCCCTCTTTATTCATGTTTAAGTACTACCTCTTAAATCATATTTTAATTAAATCATGCAATTATAATAACAAGTACATACATTTAGAAGCATACCAAACACCTTGATACTTCAACAGCACTCTGCTGGAACAGCCAAAGCCAAGTCTGCTCATCAAAGAACAGACTAGATGCTGTCAGCATCCAAAGATTTATAGAAAAGTTGGAAATGCTGGTCAATATGCAAAGTCACATAGTGGAGGTCAGTTAAGACTGATATGCTATTCTTTGAGAACAGGCCATGATTCAAGTCTCAACACATTTAGGAATTTCTATCATTTGTATTACACTCTCTGACCACAGCTCATTAAATTGAAAATCTTCACCAAAAAGATAACACAAAAAAACTCAATTTTTGGAAATCCTGAAACATTTAAAAATAACTCAGCAAAGAAGTATTAACAGTGAAAAATGTGTGAGTCAGGTGTGTGGCCTATGCCTGTAGTCCCAGCTATTCAGGAGGCTGAAGTGGGAAGATCACTTGAGCCTAGGAGGTTGAGGCTGCAGTGGGCTGTCTGTGGTCATGCCACTGCACTCTAGTGTGAGTGACAGGACAAGACCCTGTCTCCAAAAAAAAAAAAAATTTAAGTTTTTAAAAAGAGAAAAAATGTGTAAAATGAAAAACAAATGGAAAAACACAAATTAAAACTTTAAAAGCTGCCCTATTTAGCAGCTTTTAAAGGGGAATACAGAGCATTTTTAATGAACATATTAGAATTTTTAAAACTTTAAAAATGATGATCCAAGGGCAAGCAACCAACAAAAAGTTAAAATGAAACTAACAAAATAAATTCCAAAGAAAATGCAAAAGAAAGTAATTAAGGTAGGAGCAAGAAATGGTGAAACAGAAAATAAAATGCAACAGAAGAACAATACATCCTAAAACTGGTCTTCTGAAAACACTAAGAAAATAAATAGGAAAGCAATAAATAAACAATATTGTAGTGGGGGGAGGAGCGGAACATAATGAAAATCCCAGAGACTAAAAAATGGTAAGAAGACATCATTAAAAAATAAAAATAAAAATAAACTCTCTATATAAATTTAGAATAATTTTTAAATAAGCAATCACCTAGGAAAATATCTTACCAAACTGACAAATTAGGCTAGTCTGCAACTATCAAAGAATTCATTCAGTACATAAAGCTACCCACTAAAGAAACAACCAGGCACAGATAATGTTTATAGGTTAAGTCTATTAAAATCAAATGTTATACTAATTCTAATAACACTCACTGCCTATTTATGTTTTTTCAATAAGCCTTTAGCCAATCAGGAGCAACCCAAAAAACAGTATGTACTATATTCAGTAGTTAAACATTGCAAACATTATAATCTTTTTTTAAATCAGAAGTGGGAAAAAGGTGTTTTCTTAGACACTTCTCTTCAACATACTAGATGTCCTAGACTATGCAATAAGACCAAACAATAAAATGAAAGCCATAAGGATTTGAATGAAACAAAACTCACTATTCAAAGATATAATTATCTACTTAGAAAATTCAAAAGAATCTAAAGCTGAATTATGAGACGTAAATACTTTATCAAGACAGTTTCTACAAATATTGACTACATGCTTCTATGCTGGCAACAAATGGAAAATACAATTTAAAAAATATTTACTAGGTCGGGCACGGTGGCTGAAGCCTGTAATCCCAGCACTTTGGGAGGCCGAGGCGGGTGGATCACGAGGTCAAGAGATCAAGACCATCCTGGTCAACATGGTGAAACCCCGTCTCTACTAAAAAATACAAAAAATTAGCTGGGCATGGTGGCGCGTGCCTGTAATCCCAGCTACTCAGGCGGCTGAGGCAGGAGAATTGCCTGAACCCAGGAGGCGGAGGTTGCGGTGAGCCGAGATCGCGCCATTGCACTCCAGCCTGGGTAACATGAGTGAAACTCTGTCTCAAAAAAAAAATAAAATAAAATAAAAATAATAAAAAATATTTACCACAATAATAAAACAAAAAAAAAAAACACTCTAAGAATAAATCTGACAAAAGAAGAAATGTGATTTTTATGAAAAATGTATAGGAATTTTATAAAAATTTATCAAGGAAACCTAAGTAAATGAACAGAAATATACTTCTGAAGAAGGGTAAATGTTGTAAATACAGCAATTCTCCCCTAAGTTAATCTATATGTTCAATAAAATTTCAACAAAAATCACATCAGACTGGGTGGGTTTGAGTGATCATTTATTATTCATTTTTTATTTATCTGGCATGAATGAGCTGATGATTCATCATATAGAAAAGCAGGCAACAAAGGAAGGTTGAGTTGGTTTTAAAGGATAGTAATATAACGAGCTTTATGGCATTAGCTCAGAGACAGAAAAATAGCCTGATAAAGTAGAAGAACCAAATATATTATATACGTAAGAGTGAGCTTGGAAGATAAGCAAAGAAAAGAAGATGAATTAATCCAAAATAGTTCTAAGAAAATAGGTTATCCTTATGAACAAAAAATTAAAATTGGATCACTGTATCACACTATAACCAAAGTTAACCATAGAGCTTTAAGAAGATGCTATAGGAAGATAACTTTCTGATCTCCAAAAAAGGACTTTTAAAATCAGACTGAAATATAAAAGTTAAGGAAAAGTTTTATTTTAAAATCATCACATTAAATTCTCTCTTCATTAATAGATATAATTTAAAAAGAGAAACATAAGTCATTAACGGGATTACTGTAAAGTGCCACAACATTCATAACTAGATCCCCTTAGTATCAATTTTTAAAATGATAGACAACACAATAAGGAAAAGAGATAGTGATTTTACTGAGCAAAAAAACACCTATGACTATTAAACATAAATAAAAACGTCCAATTTCGTTATAAACAAGAAAATGAAAATTATAAACACAAGATACCATTTTATAACCAACAGACTGATAAAAATTTAAGTTTCACAATATTACATGTTAAAAAGGATATAGTGTAAGTAGAATTTTCATATACTGCTTGGGAAAAAAATTTGCCATTATTTACTAAAGTTAACATGTGCATAGCCTATAATTCCTCCTGGAAATAAAAATCTAGAGGAAAGCTTACATACGTGCACCAGGACAGAGGTACAAGGATATTTGTAACAGCATTATTTTGTCTTTTAATTGAACTTTTTGAGATAAATGTAGATTCAAATGCAGATTGGAAAAATTATATGGAAATATCCCATGTAGCTTCTACCCAGTTTACCACAATGGCAACATCTTGCAAAACTATAGTACAATACCACAAACAGGATGTTGACATTGATACAGATCAGATACGAACATCACCATAACCACTGTAATTCCCAGTGTTATCCTTTTATAGCCACATGCACTTCCCTCTCACTTTCACCCCATCCTTAACCACCAGCAACCACTAATTTCTCTATTTTTTGTGTATACTTTTGTTATTTCAAGAACGTGACATAAATGAAGTCATACAGTACATCATCTTTAGGGATTGGCTTTTTCACTCAGCATAATTCTCTGGAGATTCATCCAGGTTGTTGTATATATCAATAGTTTGTTACTTTTTCTTGCTGAGTATTATTCCATGACATGGCTATACCATAGCTCATTTAACCATTCACCTGTTGAAGGATATTTGGTTTGTATCCAGTTTGGGGCTATTATGAATAAACTTGCTATAAACACTCAGTTTTTATGTGCACATACGTCTTCAATTTCTCCGGGATAAATGTCCAAAGTGCAATTGCTGAGTCATATAGTAACTATACTTTCAGGTTTTCAGAAACTGCCGAAGTGTTTTATAGAATAATTGTACCATTTTACATTCCTATTATCAATAAGTGATCCAGTTTCTCTTCATCTTTACCAGCATTTGGTGTTATTACTATTTATTTTAGCTATTCTGATACAGGTTTGTAGAGAGCCCTCATTATGGATTTAATTTTCATTATGGCTAATAACACTTATTCATGTGTTTATTTGCCATACATATATTCTCTTCAGTGAAATGTCTCTTCATGTTTTTTGCCCATTTTCTAATCAGGTTTTATGTTTTTTTGATTTTTGTTTTTTTTACTGCTGAGTTTTGCAAGTACATGTTCTAGATACTAGTCCTTTCATTTTGAGCAACTTTTGCATAAACTGTGAGACACACATCAGGTTTTTTTTGTTTTTGTTTTTTTCTGCCTACTAATGTTCAATAACAGCACTGTTTTTAGGAAAACAAAACAAAACCCCCAAATGTTCATCATGAGAACAGATACATAAATTGTGGTATATTCATCAATGGAATGTCAAACAAAAATGAAAGAACTAAAGATACATGGAGCAATACAGATGAGACCAGATAAATGATAGTGAGTGACAGGCAAATTGCCGAAGAATATACTATACATACATTGTGAATGACTCCATTTATATATGGTTCTAAAACATACAAAACTAGGCATACAAAAAATATGTTAACACTACTTAAAAAGAGACTAAAAAAAAAAAAACAATTTAAAGAGTGGAATTTACCTCTGAGGTAGGAGTAAGGGGGAGACTAGAGAGCAATTCTCCCCTAAGTGAATCTATATGTTCAATAAAATTTCAAAAAAAATCACATCAGACTGGGTGGGTTTGAGTGATTATTTACTATTCATTTTTTTATTTATCTGGCATGAATGAGCTAATGCTTCATCATATTTCTTAAACCAATTGGTGGGTACACAGGTGTTCATTACATTGTCGTTCTGAATACCTTATTACTAAAAAAAAAAAAAAAATTTAAAAGGTTATTTTTTAAATTGAAATTTGCATAAGCAAGAGCTAAGAATAATACCTGGTAAGATGTCACCTTAAAGATCTTACCCTCAGCAGGTAACAAAACAGTATTATAAAATGTAATACAGGAACATATCAAACAGACCCTTGTTTGGGAAAGATGGTTTCTGAGCAAACCATTCTTATCCCACAAGCCTCATTTTACCCTTGTATGCTCAGCGCCTGACTTTTGTTTCAACTTCAAGTCCCCTAACCATTCACCTTCTCTCCAGACGGTTCCTTCTGCTTTGTTTTATAGCATTCTGCCCTCCTCGGGTGGTAAAGCTTTAAATGAACACCAACATCTGACCACTCCGCTTATCCACAGGACTTATCTTCTTAAGAGATGGTGTGAGGACAAAGGGTGAGCCTTCCTGACTTGAATTAATGAGGACCCACAATTGAACAAGTTTCTAATGTTCATATTTACAAAGAATATAGTCTAGAATCTCACTTAAATCCACACTAAAAGTAACGCCATGCATAATATCATTATTTACACATATAATTGAGATAAATGTCAGCATATAGATAGAAAAACAAAGAAATTTCAAAAAACTAATAAAATTCTTTAACCATTACAAAATCCCTTAACTATGCAGAAATTTATAAAATATATAATAAATTATGCAAGACACTGAAAGATGTGTTATTAAGTAGCTAATTGGTATTTGTAATAGCACTCTCCTTTCCTCTTGTCTTCTCTTCCCCTCCTCTTTTCCTCCCACACACTCTCTCTTCCTCTCCCCTTCTCTTTCTC